TGCATTGGTTAAGATAAGGAAGAATAAACTATGCTATAAGATATTGTCACGGTTAAACTGCTTATAATATTTTCAATTGTCGCGATTATTCGTCGCGTTATGCAGCGCGAAGTGTACGCGATTTTAACATTTTCATTTTTATGAACACTATACAAATGTTTTCTCTAAGATACTTCCATGTACATTTGTTAATGTAATAAACATTATTTTTATTCACATCATCCTTCACTTCTGGAAAAGCGTAAAATAGAAAATTCCACGGGAGATAATTTTAAAGTATAGTTATATTCAACGGCTTTCTAGCGGACTCTTCGAAGATATTGCTATTATTTATTGTAATAAAAATAAAATTATTAAACTAAAGATCACATCGCAGGTATCAAAAACGTAACATTTTTCCCCAAAACAATTTTTTCTCCTAAATTTCCGCCGAAATTAAGAAGGCTTCTTTACCAAGAACCCCTCAAATCTAAACAAAAATTCATTTATTGAAAATTTTACTTAATTCATCAAATTTGGTAACAGTCACGGGAAAGCAACCATGGATATGCAAATGTTTCAACTTCATTCTAAACATAATTTCCTTCCGTGAGCAGAGGTGCCTGTATCGAATCATGCTCTGTAGGTACCGATGCAAATCTTTACATCGTCAGCAAACGACGGATATCCTAGTTAAATCTTTAATTAGATCCTAGATTTGGATGGCATGTGCTTCAAGTTACTAGATTTCTAAGGTGTGGTTCAGTAAAGTCGAGGCTCTACCTGCCACTGCAAACATCAGTGACGTAGAAGGGAAGTTTTTTGTAGACCCAATGTTCAGTCCCGTTGAGGAGGTGGCCAGTTTGATTGTCTGCTCCAATTCCCTTTTTAGTTTCGGCACTGATTCTAGGTTCGTTCAATCCAGGGCTTTCGCGTTCGGTTCTTTTTTGTAGTTTGCTGAAAAATTTCCCGCAGTAAGGCTCGCCTTTAGCCAGTCGCTTGGCTTCGTAGTTGCGTTGCAGCGTCTCGAGACGTTGCTTGTGAGCCGTCGCCGTGTGCAAGTCCCGACGTCGCAGGGCCGTCGAGACGTCTTGCCATAAACGTCTGGACTCGCCTTTGTCTTGAGCCCTTAATGGCCTAACTCTCTTGCGCGGCACGGGCTCCATCTTCGCTACGTCAAGAACCTCCACCAAATTGCCCTCAGAATCCTTCGAGTCTGGAGTCTCACATGAGGTTTTTGAGGTACTCAAATTTTCACGTCCCTCCGGGTACGTGAAAGTCACACTCTTGTCCCACTCACCTCCAATTCTGCACAGGGTATCTCCAGCAGATCCCCTCACTTCTCCACTCACTCGGTGCAGGGAATTTCCATAAAAAGGCTTCGTGTGGAACACAACGTTGGCAGCGCAGTCAGTTTCTACACAAGCAAGCGTCACTCGGCCCCCTAATTCCGACCACGGTTCTGTGATGATGGTTCTGTGATGGTGTTGGTGTGTGGAAATTGTGTTGGCGGGTGTAATTTGTGTTGGGTTGAATAAATTGTGATGTCGTGTGCATCATATTACTTGTATTAATGATTGCGCGGATAATGCCATTAGTATTATTTTGTATTAATCGACCTGTATCTATCATTAAATGATTGATGCAGATTATTCCATTAATTGTATTTTGATGTAACAGAATTATATTATAACCATCATCACAGAACCGTGGTCGGAATTAGGGGGCCGAGTGACGCTTGCTTGTGTAGAATCACACTGCGCTGCCAACGTTGTGTTCCACACGAAGCCTTTTTACGGAAATTCCCTGCACCGAGTGAGTGGAGAAGTGAGGGGATCTGCTGGAGAAACTCTGTGCAGAATTGGAGGCGAGTGGGACAAGAGCGTGACTTTCACGTACCCGGAGGGATGCGAACATTTGAGTACCTCAAAAACCTCATGTGAGACTCCATGCAGACTCGAAGGATTCTGAGGGCAATTTGCTGGAGGTTCTGGACGTAGCGAAGATTGAGCCCGTGCCGCGCACGAGAGTTAGGCCTTTAAGGGTTCAAGACAAAGGCGAGTCCAGATGTTTATGGCAAGACGTCTCAACGGCCCTGCGACGTCGGGACTTGCACACGGCGACGGCTCACAAGGAACGTCTCGAGACGCTGCAACGCAACTACGAAGCCAAGCGACTGGCTAAAGACGAGCCTTACTGCGGGAAATTTTTCCGCAAACTACAAAAAAGAACCGAACGCGAAAGCCCTGGATTGAACGAACCTAGAATCAGTGCCGAAACTAAAAAGGAAATTGGAGCAGACAATCAAACTGGCCACCTCCTCAACGGGACTGAACATTGGGTCTACAAAAAACTTCCCTTCTACGTCACTGATGTTTGCAGTGGCAGGTAGAGCCTCGACTTTACTGAACCACACCTTAGAAATCTAGTAACTTGAAGCACATGCCATCCAAATCTAGGATCTAATTAAAGATTTAACTAGGATATCCGTCGTTTGCTGACGATGTAAAGATTTGCATCGGTACTTACAGAGCATGATTCAATACAGGCACCTCTGCTCACGGAAGGAAATTATGTTTAGAATGAAGTTGAAACATTTGCATATTCATGGTTGCTTTCCCGTGACTGTTACCAAATTTGATGAATTAAGTAAAATTTTCAATAAATGAATTTTTGTTTAGATTTGAGGGGTTTTTGGTAAAAAAGCCTACTTAATTTCGGCGGAAATTTAGGAGAAAAATTTGTTTTTGGGGAAAAATTTTACGTTTTTGATACCTGCAATGTGATCTTTAGTTTAATAATTTTATTTTTATTACAATAAATAATGGCAATATCTTCGAAGAGTCCGCTAGAAAGCCGGCGAATATATCTATGCTTTAAAATTATCTTCCGTGGAATTTTCTATTTTACGCTTTTCCAGAAGTGAAGGATGATGTGAATAAAAATAATGTTTATTACATTAACAAATGTACATGAGGTACGAAACAGAGCTATAATTAAGCTACGGCGTCCACTTAGGTGGGAGAACTCAACCGCGGGCTAAATCGCGGCGCGCTCGTTAGCTACAGCGTGGGCGTTACTAAGGTTCCCAGCCCTTTTATAGACTTCGTACCGCCGTACACTGGTTCTTGTCCTCGATACACATATGCTGAATATTCTGCTGACTCAGCATCTGAAGCAAGTGCAGTGGATGCAGTGGTCCTATGGTAAGGACTGGTGCAGTGGATGCAGTGGTCCTATGTTAAGGACTGGTGCAGTGGATGCAGTGGTCCAGTAGTAAGGACTGGTGCAGTGGATGCAGTTGTTCAGTGGTAAGGACTGGTGCAGTGGATGCAGTGGTCCAGTGGTAAGGACTGGTGCAGTGGATGCAGTGGTTCAGTGGTAAGGACTGGCGCAGTGGATGCAGTGGTCCAGTGGTAAGGACTGGTGCAGTGACACCGTGAACTCAAAGCTAACTAGGGCTGCTAGTAAACGCATGAGAATTTGTACGCACAAATTACTCTCAGACACAAACGTATGAACCAATCAGCCTTGTTCGCAAACATGGATGAAAAATAGTACAAGAATAATCGAGTTGTTTTGCAGGCACAGCTTCCGTTGAAAGAGTATTTTAAAAATCGAACGAGCTCTGTTTCCATAATGTTTGAATTATAATTGAATCGAAGGCCATGTTAGAAGAATATTTAAATAATAAAGGAGTGAAACGTGCTCTTGTTAAAGAATATTAAAAAAAACAAGCGTTACTGTAAACAATGAAAATATATGAAAGTTAAATCATTCAAAATATTTGAAATTAAGTCTCTGCCATCAAGTCTCTGGGTAAATTGCTGTAGAAATTTAAAGGACAAACTGTCAATTATATAATCTTATTTGTCATTGATAAAATCTTTATTGAAAAAATGTCTACTATATATACTATTTATTTCAGGTAAAACAACATTGAAGCTTTTGATTGATCATGACACTCAAGTTACCCTCGTCAGACGATCAGCCTCGTTTGCTGCCATACTTTGATTACGTTTCTAAGCACAATTAAATATAAATTATTGTCTAACCATTTATCATCATTCTGTGTCATCATTATTCATTGAATTCAGCGAATTGTAATTTTTTTTCGTTATACGCAAAGATTCGTCGATGAGTGTTATTTATTGGAAGATAAAAAGCTGTGCAGTCGAACACCTTTATATTATTTTATGTTTTATTTATATTTTATATTTTGAATTTGACGTACTAGACGTCACTAATACGCCAAAATTGTTTTTACTACTTCAGACGTGTTTATTTCATCAGATCTGTTTCTAATTTAGACGTATTTAACGCGGAAAATTTGTTTATTCTTCAGGCCTGTTAAAATACGTAAAATTTGTTTCTTCAGAAGTGTTTAATAAGTCGAATTCGTTTCTACTTCAGCCGCCAATAATACGTCAAGTTTATTTCTTCTTCAGACGTGATTAATACGTCAAAAAAATTGTTTCTGCTTCACACGCCTCTAAAATTTCGAGTCGCTCTCCACTTCAGAATTCTCTAAATACGTTTTTTTATAAAAAAATCTTCTTTAATTAAACGGCGTGTCGTGTCGGATATTTTCCACTGAGAAGCGACAAACAAATCATGTCCTTCTTTGCGCGCGACGATATTATTCACTGTGAATAGTCCCGTCACTGTTTGGGGAATGATGGTATAAAGAATTAAATATTGATAGAAGCGTGGATGTTGAAGTGAAAGAAACGAGTTCGTATCGAATGCAATAAATGATATAATTTGTGATATACTTCCTAGCTAGTTAACGAGAATGAAATGAGTTAGAAAATTCAAAATAAATAGAGTACTTTCAAATTGTACTATAATAAGACTGTCTTCACGTGTATTTAATTTTTAATTTTATATCAGGGCATAATTAATTTCTTGAATTTCAAAAGCCAATAAAAACTCAAACATTAGCCCATTTATACCAATTGAATACTTATTCTTCATAGCAAGTATTGCTAAAGTAACAATCTAACAGCAGGAAAGCTTACCTTCGTTCTGGCTGAGTGAATGGAAGGCAACAAGTCGACGCTGTGGCAGACACGGGAGCGCGGCGGTCCTGCTTCTTGCGTGGCGTCCGAGGGACAAGTGGACGAGGGCAGGCAGGTCAGCCCTTATATAGGCAGGAGCCTCGTGTCACTCGCACCTCCCTAAACTGATTAGAGGTGTGGGTGGAGACCTCGACTTGGTGCTTCAAGATAAAAATTTTTAACTTGAATTTCACCGAATGTATTTTTCGATTTTTATAACTACATATCGGTGAAAAATTGGAAACTGTAAAATTTCTATTCATTTTAAGTTCTATTATCTCAAAGAAGAAAGGTTGAATCATTATATGATCGACTTACCCGTGTCTATCCGTACATGATTATTAATAAAAACAAGGGCTTGTAATTGACAGTACAAAAATTAGGTGCTCTTCTAAATTATTTATAGTATTAGTAAAACCGTCAGTATTAATTAGTACTTGTACATTAGTACGAGTATTGGTACGATCATTAGAATAAGTTCCCGTACCCACGAGTATTAATATCAACACAAACATCAAAATATTATAATTATTATCATAATATCGTATTAATATCAGTACTTATATTATCAGTCTGCTTATATAGCAAGTTCACAAGGAATTTAAAAGCAAAGAAAACGCTAAGCAAATCCACCATATCGATATTGAAAACGTTTTGGGGTCCAGCTCCATCATCAGTTCGACAAACTAAAAATGAATAAAATCATTCCATAAGTCAAATTTTTAAGACAGACATAAAATCTAAACAAGACCTAACATTATATTGAAAAACAGGACTCGATTGGAACAACTTATATAGTCCTAGGGGTCACGAAAAGAATAAAACTTAAGAAAAAAACACTATAACATAAAAGTCTAGCGATTCACTATTTCAAGATTATATGAACTAAACGCATTATTGAGACACGGTTTTCGTTTGAAGATATGTAGAGACTCCAAAATTCTCAAATCCGAGCAGCCAGAAGTGGAACCGAGTATCCTGAAATCACTCTCAGACACAGCCACGTCGCACTGTTCAGCATGGAGGCGCACGGAAGAATGAGGAGGCTTGGCGAGAGGCAAGTTAGAACGATAGCTCCTGCCACGGTGTTCAGAAACCCGGATGTAGAAGTTACGCGACGTCATTCCAACGTACGTAGATGCACAGCGTGCACAACAGAACTCATAGACCAGGTTTGATCGCATCCGAGCAGGAATAACGTCCTTATACCTGAAGAAAGAACCAATTTTGAAATTATTTACCAGCAAAACATGCAAATTTATATTCGAGAAATATTTCGTAAACAAAATCTTTAGTTCTCTGGACATAGTTTCAGACGCATTACCAAAATAGGGCAATGTGTAATAAATAATTATCTTACTATCGCATTCAGTCACAGTTTCAGAAAATTTGTTAGATAAGAAGCGTTTGATTTTACTAAACACAAGGCACGATGGAAAACCATTAAGCTGAAATATACTACGAATGAATTCGAATTCCAAATGCATATCATGGAAGGTAGAACAAACCCTATAGCCGCGACATATCAAAGTTTGAAGACTATTCAATTTGAAACTAAACGGGCAGAAGCTAGAGAAGCTCATACCCAAGCCGGTAAATGTCGGTTTCCGATATACGGAAGTCTGAAAACGACCGCCATGTTTAGTAATTTTGCAATCGAGAAACGACAAACAATTGTTGGATTCTAATTCCATAGTGAAATTTATTGAAGGATGTTTGAGGTTTAGATAATCAAAGAAAATGCCAGCATGAGAGGGATGCTTGAAGATCAGAAAGATATCATCAATATACTGATTATAAAAAATCTGTTTAAAATCAATGGGACAATCAGCCAACCAAGAAACCTCATGAAAGCACATGAAAATGTTGATGAGTGTGGAACCAAGGAGAAGGCCCATTCCTAAACCATCAACTTGCTTATAAAGTTTACCAGCGAAAATTAAAAAGAAATTCATGACTGATAATTCCAGTATATTTTTGAAAAGACTGCTATTAAGACCGATCACCAGATCATTCGCATCCTTAAACAAAGAGTTGAGGCAGATTTCAATAGTTTGTGTAGGAGGAATATTAGTGAACAAATTTTTCACATCGAACGAAGCCATAGTCAGGTGCTGAACTATTATTATCATAACGCTGTCACGTGGCCTGGGACTGCAACGTCCAGAATAACAATGAAGGATCGACACCTCTGCGTTACTATTTAAATTGTTTCATTAATTTAATTGGCTGCCTTGGTGAATGATGAAGTATTTCACCATCATCTTCCAACTGTAAGATATTTTGTTTTTAAAATGTACTACTTTCATAACTAAATAATTAACGAAAAATGGCTTAAAATTTTTTCACCGAAAGTTTCAATTTTTTACTTCGATCAACGAGTATAAAAATAGCTTATTGAACACAAAAACTTCCTGTGCGTGGGAGATTGTTTGTTGTGGACCAATGAGTTGATAGTAACAACGCATCTCAAGAAATTTATTCTGCCACACTAAGAAATTTCTGCGCGTAAATTTTATTGTATCCGCAAATATGATTTGACGGGAGGAGGCTCGCAGGAAGTCCATGCTGAATAAGGCAGCTCAGGCTAGGTTCGTTGCAGTGTGTGGGTTAGGATGAAATTATATAAGTGAGGGAAGAGAGGGTTGTGAGGGAACTGAGTAAGGGGAGTGCAAGTTGAATGAGGGAAGTGATGCTAAATTCGAACGATAGAAGTGACAACAAATCAAGTAGTGGAAGTTAAGAGAAGAATGTGTGATATAAGTGAAGGAAGAATCGAGTGAAAGGAGAAATGAGAAAATTGAGCGGGGGAAGTAATGTGAAAATCTGGTGAAGAAAGTGACGTGAAAGAGGAGCGGCGAACAGTAAAGGAGAGTGAAACGGGGAGAATTTTAAAAATTAATCTTGGAAGAGACGGACGAATGTCCTAGAGGGATAGAAAAACACACGTGGATGTAACCATGAGAATTAGTGAGCTGAACAAGGAAATTACCTACGCTTACACGACGTGTCAAGCGAGCGTAACGAGAACATTGTACTTTTGTACTAATGAATACAATTGAATAAAAATGGGTAAGTAAAAAGTCGATTCCTTCAAAAACAATAATCTTATATCACGTGTACAATAAAGTAATGGCCGAAGGAAAATGGCACGCCGCTTACACACATGATATTCATAGTTAATGTTTGTGGTTAAGTAGAAAGCGGTGTAAGTAAAATTCATCACTGATGAGGCTTGTCATGAATACAACAGCTTTAATTGTGTACGAACAAAACCCTATCTATGGGCATGGACAATCTCATGATGAATGCCGGAGCACATGATCTAGCTAAGCCATCCGCGTGATCTGATAAGGCGGACTGCAGATCAAATCACGGCACCGCGGATCGTCCGAGTTGCTCGACGCTGTCCGCAAAAAATGCAACACGCGACTCAGATTCTAACAGAAGACGCTGGTCCGCCAGCATTTCTGAGACCAAGAGAAACGCGTACAATTTAGTTTGATTTGTTAAGAACGTTTAACGTAGAGAAGCAGTGAGATAAGCTACAATTTGTGATATAATTGCAGAGAATCTAGCGAAAAATGTAGTAAAGTAAATGAAATCTAGAAAGCCGTGACTGTTAGTGACCGTTATTATTGTTATATATTAATAATTAATACATTTTTCATTTAAATGCAAAAATTTTTCATTGCGAGAAATAAGGCGGCTTGTACCTTTGTGTGACGAGGAAAATGATTGCGACGATGCATAGGTAATTGTGTTGAGTAATACAGCCCCGCATGTGTGATGAAGCAAGCAATTCATTTAAATTTTTTGTTCAAATGAAATAATTTTAGTCCACACAATCACCGCCATGATTCTGTTACACGCGGCTCTCCTCAATTTTCTTAAATTATTCATATTTAAATAAAATAATTTTTAGAAGCAAATTTTAGCATCTCTGCTCTAATCTCCTAAGAAGTTTGGCTTCATAAAAGATCTCTACAGCAGCTGGCGGTCAAAAAAATATCCTCTAAGGATAAAAATGGAACTCAAAACTATCTAAACTTAATTTTTATCAAACAACAATAGCGCAAATATTGTCTCTCCATACATAAAATAACTCGCGCCTCGTGTCAGTTATAACATTAATGAGTCTCTGTCAAATCAGAAAATTGTTTCCTGGTGAAAAAATGAAATTTTTTAGGTTGCATTGATGGTGTTTTTTTGCTTGTCGAGGAACGCTCGCTTGAAATGAGATTCAGGAGCAGATTTTGAATTAAAATTGTTCAACAAATCGTCATTAGCGAATTGCGAAGATGTTGTGGTGATGCTGAACATAAAACTAGTCGTTGGGCCAGTGACTGCGATGTTGTGGTGATGCTGAACATGAAACTAGTCGTTGGGCCAGTGACTGCGATGCTGTGGTGATATTGAACATAAAACTAGTCGTTGGGCCAGTGACTGCGATGTTGTGGTGATGCTGAACATGAAACTAGTCGTTGGGCCAGTGACTGCGATGCTGTGGTGATGCTGAACATGAAACTAGTCGTTGGGCCAGTGACTGCGATGTTGTAGTGAAATACAAAAATATTTATTTTAATCTCCAAAGAAGAAGACTGTGAATTTCCGACCGAAGTAATTTAAAGTCTCTAATTCAACGATTCAGGAAAATAAGAAAGGATTGACTAACAGAAACTGTACAAGATTTATTTAAGTTCGAAGGATAGGTTCACGGCTGTCGCGGTCATCCATGGCTGGCCATAAACAGCACACCTGCAGGTAAACAAACCCAAACTTGAGATAATTGGCTGAATAAAGTAGTTACTTATTATTATCAGTGATCAACAAAAAATCTGTGGAATTCATAATTTATCAACGGTCCAATCCCAAATCATCCAGTTTTGAGAAATTGGCTGGGAGCGAGGTAAGTAGGTTCTGCATGGCCAAGAATCAAGCCTCACCTCTGACGTCTCCGGAGTTTTAAGGA